AGTGTGCCCACCTGCTGATGGAAGAGTACATGGGGGACACCGAGGACCCCCAGACCCTCCAAGCCCAGTTCCAAGACATGATGGGAGACTTCATGATTGTGATTCCTTCATTGCAAGTAGCACATTTTCAGAGTGAGTACATCTGTAGCTGAGCCTGACTGTGCAGTGGGCAACTCAGGGCTGTGCATCCCAGCGCAGCTCTGTGATGTCCAAGTCCCCATCCTTGTGTCTCTTAAGGACCAAGAGCAAAGTACTTGAGGTTCCACATGTCAGTAAACTCTCATGGCCACAGTCTGGCACAGGCATCACAGGCACGTTACAGAAGAGGAAACTTAGATCTTCAGTTACTAGTCCAGGACCACACAGATAGGAAACTCAAGCCATGATTTAATCATAGCTTTTCCCATTGGGGTCACCAGGAAGATGGCAGGGACATACAATTCTTGACATCAAAGCCTATCCTAGAAATCAGAGAATGTATCACTGACTGTGATGACTACCTTTGGTCTTTGCAAGGCCTCCTCCTGCCTGAGGCTTCTCATTTCACACTCCAGATTCCAGCCAGCTTCATCCTAGCTGTCTTAGCACCAAAGGTGAGGAAGGACAACTCTAATTGAGGGATCACCATGCCCGAATTTGTCTACACTTGCAGGTTCCCATGCCCCTGTCTACTTCTATGAGTTCCAACATCGTAAGAACTTGACCTCAAAACCCAGGGCCCCACATGTGAGGGCCGATCATGGGGATGAGGTTGTCTTTGTCTTCGGGTCTTCCTTGTATGGCAGCAACCGTGAGTGCTCTTCATTTCCATAAGCTAGAATGGGCCACACTATGATACCTGTAGGTTGAGTCTCCTCATGGTCTATGTAAGGAAGCTCAAGCTCAGAGACAGGCCAAGATCAAGTGTACAAAATCTTACCATTCAAAAAGCTTCAAGTGTTTGGAATTCAAGTCTTTTCCCAAACAACCTTTGCTCCCAACACCTGTCCCCACCTGCAATAAGATGTCAGACGTAAGTACAGAATGCATACTTAGAAGTTATGATTGTCCCTAAATGATTGCCAGGGACTGGCAAGGAAGTCCAAGTGCTCTCCAGTCCAGGAATACACACAAGTGTATTCAGCTAGAGACAGGATGAAGAATGGAAGGTTGTGCAATGAGAATGCCTGATCCTGGGTGGGGCAGAGGGAAAGGAGCAGGCCAGGTATGGAGAATCAGACCACAGTTGCAAGAAGGGTGTAGAGTAGAAGTAGACACCTTACACTCGCCAATCCTGGACCCTTATTCTCTATGCAGCTGACTTTTCTGAGGAAGAGGAGCTACTGAACAGGAGGATGATGAAGTACTGGGCCAACTTTGCCCGCAATGGGTAAGATAATTCACCTAACCCTGCCTCCCCAGAATGGGGTCCACCTAGTGGATGCCCTTGTGGCATCCTCATGAGCACTCATGAGCCTTAATTACACGACCTCTCTCTCTCTATCTCAAACTCCAGGACTCACTCACATACAGACTGCTTTATAAGGTCAAGTCCCTCTCTTCTGCCCCTGAGACCTGAAAATATGACCACAGTTCTGTGGAAACATCAGCACTCACCTCTATGAGGTGGCTCTGATCCATAAGGAACAGACCCTAGGGCGAGGGCCTTTTTTTCCCTCATTCCCCACACTCCTGATTTTTGGGCTGCCTGTCATGACTCTAATGAGGTGATTGGGTCCAGGCTCACAAGGACACAGAATGACCCTCACCCTTCCTCCTGGGAGGGTGTGCCCACAGGAACCCCAACAGTGAAGACCTGCTCCATTGGCCCATGTTTGACCAGAAGGAGCATTACCTACAACTTGGTATCCATCCTGCTGTGGGCCAGGCCCTGAAGGCCTCCAGGCTGAAGTTCTGGACCAAGACCCTGCCACAGAAGATCCAGGAGCTCAAAGGGGCTGAGCAGAAACACATAGAGCTGTAGTGGTCTATGTTGGAAGGACTGGGCTTGAGTGCCGGTAGGGTCAGCAGGAGGTGCTCAAGTGTTCATCCTCTGTTTATCCAGCCTGCCAGCCACCCAACTAGACGATACTTATGAACAACTGCCTGCATGATGTGCATGACCCACTTGCCTGAGCACTCTCTTGTTAGACACACTCAATAAATTGCCCCTTGTCATTGAAACTGTATTATTCTAGTGGTGCGTACTGTCCTCCAGGCCCCATTGAGCCAGGGCCCCTTCTTTATTCATCTCATCTTTTCAACTTCTCTCTGCTCCAAGTCCTTAGCCCCTCTTAAAATGAAGATGGTCTGAACACCTTACTCCTAGCATGGGTCAAAATTACATGTATAACCTTCAGCAATCCCCCCTTTTTTTTGACTTCTAAGTAGCCAACAATTAAACCCATTTGATTTCTAAGTTTCTCTAACACACACACACACACACACACACACACACACACACACACACACGTGCAGAAAATTTTTTATTATAGATTAATTTATATGCAATGAAATTTAACCACATTCATTCCCATATCGTTCCTTAAAATGTTTCTTTATTCCAAATAAATTCCTTCCCGCTCTTTACAGTTAATTACTTCCTCTTACTCAGCATTTTTCAAATACCTGATTGTGTATGCTTGTTTTCTATTCCAGTTCTGAGACTTGAACTCAGGGCTTTGCCACAACACTTCGCTTTTTCTACTCAATGCTGGATCACTACAACTTGTACCAACCTCTATTTCTGGGTGTCTGCTGGTAAATTGAATTTAAGAGTCTCACAAACTTTTCTACCTGGGCTGGCTTTGAACTTTGATCTTCAGGTCTCAGCTTCCTGAATTGGTATGCTATAGGCAAAAGCCACTACTACCTGGCCAAATTGGTTTTAGTTGGTATTGAGATTAGGTATAATTTGGGGAAAATAATAGTGCAGTGTAGTATAACATACCAACTGAATTATTTCTGGCTTATAGTCACCATAATTAATGCTTTCAGGATCAAGTTAACATCTTTTCTTTTATTGAGGAGTGATTTTTATGAATGTACACACCATTTTTAACTACAACGACTGGGTGCACATCTGAGTGTGAGACATTCTTTTCTCTGTGTGTGTGTGTGTGTGTGTGTGTGTGTGTATGTTCTCTTTTCTTGGTACTGGGGATTGAATCCAGAACACTGTACTTGCTCGTGAAGTGCTTTGCCATTGAGCTACATCCCAGCTTTCTTTGTTATTTGTAATCTAGTTGTTTAGGACACTTTCAAACTTTTTGAAGACACATACTTTCATTCCCATTGGATTTTAATCTGGGATTTTGATTGTCTAATTGGAGATAAAAAGTATTACCCAGGCTGGCTTTTGACCAAGATCCTCAATTCTATGCTTCCTGAGATGCTAGGATTACATGTATAAGCCACTGGCACCAGGCTTGTGTCTTGCTTGCTTGCTTTCTCGGTTTCTCTCTTTGGTTGTCTCTCTGTGTCTATATGTCTATGTCTGTATTTGCCTCTCTCTGTGTGTCTGCCTATCTCTCTTTTTCCTTCTCTCTCCTTCTCTCTTTGACTTTGTCTTTCTATTCTGTCTCTGTCGCCCTGTCTTTGTCCAAATCACTAGGGATATCTAAGTTTTCATCAACCTGTCAAACATACAGAAATGCTTCAAAAATCCTTTCATTCCATGTTTTTACTATTAACATGGTTGTTGTGGATGCCAGGGTCTCTGAATGATGATGCAGGAAGTGGCAGGGCACCTGGGAAACTTCAGCCTTGCAGTGGGCACCACAACCATGATATTAACAGGAAGCCTTGTGATTTTCAGTAAAATTCATAGAACTTGTTACTGGATCCTGAACATCAAGGACCTAGACTCTCGGCTCCCCAGCCCAGGTGCTGATTAGTTTAGGAGAATGAAGGTCAGAGAGAATTGTTGAATCTGAGCAGCCAAATGTTCTTATCCTGAGGTTCTAGACCAGTGCTTGGATTTTCACACACTCCAGCCCCAATTTCTCCCCTTGTCTGCTGTTTCCCATTTTGCTGGCAACAGACCAGGACGTTGAGCTATCACCCTCTGCTTCATTCCCTTCCTTACTTCCTGATTAACCTCCACAGAATGCATGAGGTACGGGCTGGTGGCCTATACAGAGACTGAGATCTGAGGCCTCAGTTTGAAGCCAGCCTCTATAGGAAAGTCCATGAGATTCTTCTGTCCTGTTAAGCAGCAAAAAGCTGGCAATAGAGCTTTAGCTCCAGTCGAGTGCAACACTAGACTTGAGTGAACAAGCTAAGGGATAGCTCTCAGGCTCTCAGTTCAAGCCCCATACCAACACACACACACACACACACACACACACACACACACACACAATGAATCCAGGGCCAGAAGTACCACATTAGTTACTTTTTTTAAATCATCACCTACCAGATTATATTAACATTCCCATGAATCCACTAAAAAACTAAAAACAAAAAACCCTAGCCTATAAGCAGGAGTGAATCATTAAGCTGTGGCTAGAGGCTCTGCAGTAAATGTGTGCTGATGGTGATCCATCTCTTTGTTTAATCTCCAAACTGTGTGTAAGTCTACCAAGAGCATCTGCCCAGATCTGTCCTGGGACAGTTAATCAGATTGAAGACCATGTGTGCACATCAGATTGTGTGGCTGGAATGGAGGTCAGAGAATCTTTAGCCAAGTCCTGCCAAGGGAGTAGAAAGGGTATCAAGAAGGAAAGCTTGTGGTGCCTGGCTGTAGACTGTCTGTGTATCAGATTGAACAATCAAAGCTGGTTCTCACAGGCAGTAAAGATAGTGTGAGGTTGAGCCAGGCATCGCTTCCTAGGGAAAATCAGGCTTTGCTGAAGCGCTTGGCTCCTGGTGTCTCACTGCATCTTAGCAGGATCTATGTTGTACATACTCCCAATTATAGAACTGGCTCCCAGATTACCACAGGCCCATAGAGCTCTGTCTCTTCACAGTGCTGCAACCAGCAAGTTCCTTTTAAAGGTTTATCAGGTGTGTTTATCAGGTTTATAAAGGTTTATCAGGCCTGCCCTTGACCTCAGCCACCAGGGAAGCCACAGAATAGGATGACGGGTCCTTAAAAATGCCACAGTGACAAGTATGTTTAAATGAAAAGCAGTTCCTAATTGTGGAGGCGTCCGTGTGAACCCTCATGACTTTGGGGGATGAAGAAACTTGAAAGTGGACTTGGTAGTGTAAGAGCAATGAGTTGAAGGAGCAATGTCAAAATGAACACAGTCATAGCTCCCTGTTTATGCTCCAAGTGCTCCCATGGCAAACCCATGGGAGGTGGGGGCATTGTGCATCTGTGGAATCCTAAGCCTGCTTCTCTGCAGACCAGCCCTGAATTTCTCCAATACAATCTTCATCACAGTGACAGTTCCAAGAATCTCGAGGGCAGCAGAAGCCACACAGCACCTCTGGATGAGGGCAAACGAAAGTAGGAGAAAGGAAGGCCTCACACCAAGAGTGCTGCCCACTAATTTCCTGTGACCTCTGCCCTGTCAGTGGCACTCTCTAGCAGCAACAGCCTTACCCAGCTTTTCCTATGTCCCCACCTACTCCCTGGCAGGTCCAAACTCCTGGCTGGGCAAGGTCTAGGTGAATTGTACCTGTTGCTTGAGTTTCAGTGTGCTGCATAGAGACACAGAAATCACGCTGGGAGACAGCCATGCTGCTGAACAGACTTCCTGCTTGGCTGACCACAGTGGTCTATGGGTTCCTGCTTCTCCCACAGATCCAAGGTGAGACTCCTACAGGGGGACCTGTCAGTGGGGAAGGCACCAGGGTGACACCTGCCACATTGGGCAGAGCAGAGTTTGAGTTGGAGAAGGGAGAGGGGAAGGTAGAGATGACAATGATATTACGGAAAATTTGTGCTACAAAGTGCCCATGGTGGTGATCATATAGCTCAGAGAGGGTCATAGGTGCCTGAGGACACAGAGGAGTGAGGCCCATATGAAAGTGTGTAAAGTGCACTGACATGTTGCAGACAGTCAAGGATTTGGGACATTTCCTTCCTCCATTTGTTGTTGCAGCTGTAGTTGTAACTGCTACTCAACCTGCCAACATCATTGTCATTCAAACTGATTGGGTACCCTTCATTGCCAGAGAAACATCTTGGTATGGTCCAAGGTTTCTGGTTCTGGAAAAGCTATACCTCCCCCAGGAACACATCATGAAGTTGAACTGAGATGCCACTGTGTTTCTTTCACCTAAGTGTCAACTCTAGGCAAAGACTTGGCTTGGCTTCTAAGGTAATAGAGGATGTACCCTTTGCCTGCTACACAGTCTTCAAGTCTTTATCAGGAGCTCATGCCACCAGAGAATTATATCCAGAATTATGTATGTGCAATGTTTGATCCCCTCACACCAGAGCAAGCTTGGATGGGCCCTAATGAACTCTCCTACCCTCTCCTATTTAATCTGCACTAAGGAGTTCCCCTTACCTTACCCATGGCCCACTCCTACCAGATTCCCTCCCTTACCTGCTCTTGATCAGGATCTGGGTATTGATTATGAAATCGTGACTCCAAGGTAACAATTTTTGCAACAGGCAGAGCTGGTTGTGCAAACCTGGTTATTCAGAAGACCCAGGGTTTTAAATCTCCTATTTCAAGGGTCAATTTTTGCCACTGCATGGCTCAGCTTCCTCATAGTATTTCATGAGGGGCTTGAAGCAACATGCAGGTAGCTAATTTCTAACAGGAACCTGAGCAATGTTGGTCTTTTTACTGTAACAACTATGAAGCATGAGTGGCTAGCAGCCACAGTGAGGTCCAAGGTCAGAGTTCCCATCTAGATAAAACTCTTACGTAGACAACATGGAGGTCAGGGATATGTCTTTGGACTTGGAAAGATATTGGGAAATTGATGTCTGTTTGTGGTTGCTATCTTGGCTTCAGCCATAGGAGGCGACAGGAAGCTTTTTGATTCACAACAAGCTCCTGGAGAGTGCTTAGGGGCAGGAGAGTTACTTTTCTTATACAAACAGATCAGATTTGTGAATTTCTGCAACCTGAAGGTAATAATGGGGGAGAGAAGGTTCCAGTGAAGGTGGAATTGGAAACAGCCACCGAATGTGGCCCTGACTGGATGTCTCAAAACACATGAAGGAGCACGAACTTTGGGGTTATTATATATGA